ACAATGTGAATATATTCTTATTTTTTGAAATTCTGCTTTTAGTCGGAATTCATAATGTATTTAAAAATGAAGCTTCATGCAAAATCTCTTCTGGACAATACTTTGTATCTTATTAGTAGGTAGCGAACTTACATCTTTACAGGACTCGTGTTCACTTAGAAATATTAGTTTAATTGTATTTACCTGCATATAACAGTTACTTTATTCATATTCGTTTATATATGTTTTTACTTTTATTTCTCTAATATCTTCTTTAAACATAAAAAGAACACATTCCTTGTCTACTGATATTCTTTCTGCATTTCATACTTATGTTTCCTTGTCTATGCCACCACAAAACCATAACCAAGCAACACAAATGGTGCATGTTGTTTACAGACAATGTCTGCAGAAAATAGAAACAACAAACAAATCGATTTTTGCATTCACCTTTTAAAAAAAAAATGATCACCAAAAAGCCCCAACTTTTATCAACAAGCCAGCCATGTATTGTATTTGTTATTCTGGGTTTGTCAACTGATTTTTTCTTTCATTTTACATTTTTTATTGTTTTTTTTTTATTTCTGGTGTGAATCTTAAAGTGTTATTCTTCAAGATCTTTTTTTTTATTTTTTGTATTTTCAAGGTTTTTTTCTGTATATTTTTCCCTTCATTCTTCAAACTGTTTGTCTTCAACTCTCAACTCAACCCTTTCAAAGAGAAAATCTCTCCTTTGCCTGTTTTCTTTCTAAACATAGATTTCTGTTTGCCCAGATTTTCCTATTTGTTGTTTTTAGGTGCTGAATTGGATAAATGTGAAATACTGCATTGTAAAATGCGACCAAAAATATTCTTTTATTCTGTTCTTATCTCTCTATCTACAGTCAATATATTTTTTTTATATATATATATATATATATATATATACATACATGCATACACACACAGAGGTATAGAAATGTAATAAGAATGCATATATTATATACCTCTGCAGCTAATGATAAGAGTATAATGTGGTGCATTTTTGTGTGTGTGTGTGTGTGTTTTTATATATATATAATAATTTGTATATTATGAATAAAATACATCTACATATTTACAGTAACAAAACAGAAAGTATACATTAATTAATGCAAAGACATGATGAAAACTTTTATCATATCTATATATAATATATATATATATATATATATATATATATATATATATATATATGTATATATATATGTGTGTGTACACAACAGTTCAAGTTTGAAGGCACCTTCAGAATTAGCTTGTGATGAACTTGACAGAAGAGTGAAAAAAATGAAAAAGAGCTCTTAATCATTGAAAAAAAAAGAATAAAATCAATTATCAAATTTATACTTTGAGAAACTTTTGCATTGAATGCCAAAAATTTGTGCTGCAATAATCAAGGCTAAAGGAGGATATTTTGGCGGCAACAAAATTTAATCATAAAATGCTTTTTTTCTTTTTGTCATAAAAAAATTTGTAATAAGCAATCATGTCTCACTTATTTTTTTTAACCATGTATAATAATTTTCTCTTATTTAAAGTGCAAAACAAGTACTTTTAGAGCTGATCTAAAAAAATTACCAGAGGTCACCTCAAACTTTTGAAATATAGTGTATGTATATATATATGCGTGTGTATATGTGTGTGTGTATATATATATATATATATATATATATATGTGTGTGTGTATATATAATATACATATATATAATAAGAATAAAAACAAAAATAAATATAACAAGAATGCATATGTTTATATCTCTGCAGCTAATGATAAGAATATAATGTAGTGCATTTTGGCAAAGATATTTTGGGACAGACACACACACACACATACATTTATATATGTGTGTGTATAATATAACATTTGTGTATTATGAACAAAACGCATTTATATATTTATATATATTTACAGTAATAAAAGTGAAAGTATGTATTAACCAATGTAAACAAATGATGTAGGCATTTATTATACATCTATATATATATATTTGTGTGTATGTGTGTATTTACTTACAAACATACATATTCTAAGCAGATTCTCAAATACATTTATATTTTGGCATGCATGATGTATGTATTGTGTGTGTAATAGAGATAAATCAAAAGTTTATCTAATTTACATAGATGCCAAGATTCTTCCAGAGCTCAAATGGTTATTGTCACAACTCTTCTTTGTTCATAACAAAATTCATAACAAAGCAAAAACAAAATATATATATATAAAAATTCCTTAAAAAACTAGGTATATAAATGATGAGCCAAGAAAACCAAATCAAAAACATTTTTTGCTTGACTTTCTTTTCTGAAACTTATACTGATGGATAAGAGCAATGCCCATATTTTGTCAATCTAATCAGAGGACCAGAATAGAAGCTTTAGTTTATATATTTCTTTTGCTTTGATCTAAAAGCTAATATCATCTAATATACATCTTTTATCTTGTTTTCTGGCTTATAAAAGGTAACAAAATGACATTATTACTATTTGTTGGGGTGGAATGAAGAAGTGTTACTTTCTAAAAAAAAGTAAGCACTTTTTTGTTGCAACACTTCTTTATTTACCACGTTCGGGCTGGAGCAGTATCATGTTTCTTTACAACAAACCAAAAATGATAACAAAAGAGACACTTTAATTAAATATACACATGCAGCATTTAATTTGTTATATAACCAAGAGTTTGTATCCTGAAAAAATGCATGGTGGGAAACTTTAGTAAAATCTTTTTATTCTTTCCTAAATACACAATATATTCTCTACAAATAATCTTGGAAGTTTAGGTTTCAGAATATTTTAAATGTAACTTCTAAAATTAAATTGCTTGCTGCAGTAGTAGAATAAATAGTTAGCACCAGTTTTTCCACTGACTGCAAAGATTTATTTCCATTTAATTATGGTAATTTTGCAAAAGCTATTGTAAGTTTTGTTTCACTGGCATAAATTTCTGAAAGAATTGTCATGCAACACTCTTTATACAAATAATGTCTACCTGTAGTGAATTTCCCTACAAACAGTGATATCAGTGGGCTGAAATATTAACCCATGACCCTTCATTAAAAGTAGATTATGTTATTAAAGACTAAAGATATAGGCTTTGATTAGAAGCCAGTCTTGATAAATAAACAATTACAGTAGAGCACGATGGATTATATTATTATCTCCTGAAAACCAATGTAACAGATTAACATCCACAAAATTTCAAAGTAGTATCAATTTTTAACTAAGTAAAAGCTTAGTATAAATAGTGCAATAGTTTATGTAAAAATTATTGCATTTATTGTTGTATCAGTCTTAACACCATCTATCATCTTCAGAAACATGGTGTACCACAAAATTAGATTCATAAAGAAAGCCATTGGAGGTGCCCCAGAAAACTAGTTGAATCAAAGAACAAAGGTTGCTAACGTAAACATAGTTCAAAAATTGTTCCTGTTACAGTTCTTTGTTCTTTAGCAGAATTCTTACCAAAGCAAAAACAATATAGGGGTTATATTATTATTATGGATAGGTTAATTAAAACAGTTGCTAACAGACATATAATGTTAAAACACTAATCCCATATGATCCCTGAAGTTAGGCAATGTTGTACCTAGATGGGTGACCACTTGGGAATACCAGGTGCTGTAAGTTTGGATGTGCAGGTGGTGTAATGGATAATGGCTTGGAATTGTTAATCAGAGAGCTAAGTTTCAATTACTATTGGGTTAGTTTTATTCACTTAAGCGTAAATACTCTTGGGAAAGGTATGAATCCACGTCTTCTTCCCCCAGCTATGGGTTAATTAGATTTGTATCACTGAACCATTATTATCACAAAAAATTCTTACAATCTAAAAATATTTGCTGGCTTTAAATATCCTGCAAAGTGTTGATAAGCCATAGAAAACAAACAATCAATCAATCAATCAATCAAAGGATCTAATAGTATCTTCTATTGTTTTTTTCTAATTTTAATATATGTTGGATATACTAAAATTATACTATAGAATGTGCTATGAGGTCCTGTTAAGCTCCTCTCCCTGCCCTCAGTACTGGAAAGGTGGAGCTGAAATAGATACTAATTACAATATTCACTTCGCTCTTGAATATGTATTCCATTGGTGAGATGTAAGTTCCAATTGAGCAACTTCTTATGAACTGATGCTTTATGGAACTGATTCTTAAGAGGATGCTTCCCAGATTACTACAATCTTAACCTGTTCAAGTGTAGGATTAGCCATTATCTTCCCCACATATCCACATAAACTGTGCCTCTTACTCTGTAACCTACTATCTCGAGTGGCTCTCGGGCCTTGTACAGGGTGAACATTATTGTAAAAAATATCTGAATTCTTACATAATGTTATCTCTGTTTTTATTGAAGTTACCAATTGAAATTGCTATATTTACTGGCAAATGAAATTATATTTTTTAAACTATAAAGAATGATGTTACTATATGTCTTTTTTTGTGGTACTCCATGTTTTTTTTCTCTGTAGTATCATTCATGATTATTTTTTTTTGATATGTGCATCATGGAATGGCTTCACATATGTGTCAAAAGCATTACACAACATGCCAGAATATGCACATGCTTTGTATGAAAATAAATGTGTTCAGAAACAGTCAATATTATTTGTATATTGGTGAATGTTCTTTCTGAATTAATAAAATCAATTTGATAATATGAAAAATAAAATGCAACTTTTTATATATTTGTTGCTCACAGTCCTAACCTCCCTATTTTCAGATAATGAATTATTTCTTTATAATGGCGAGTTAGCATAATGACAAGATGATGATAATAATAATAATAAGATCAGCAAATGGTAATAAATTGTTTGCCATTTATTTTGTTTTGTGTTAACTTTCTTTGGATGTTTTTATTTTTAATGATTTAAAAAAAAAAAGCAAAATTTTAATATGATGTGACAATAGAGTTAATTGTTTGGATAAAATCCTAGATTACTCCTTCAGAAAATCTAACCAAATTTATTTTAATAAGACATTCTCAAATTCTTTTCACAGAACGCACAGATTCTACACAGATCCTAGGCAGAGAGCCCGAAAGCGACCATTTTAGCTGAAGCAAAGCACACAGATACTTTGATCCAAGGCAGAAGTAAATAACCTGTTTTGATCAGTCCTATGCTAGTTAAATGGACCAGCATAACTGAGAACTTGTAAAACATATCAAGTAAATCATTGAAGGTTTTTAAAACATGATATTGCATAAGGATAAAATATCTAATCCTCTCATTTTGAATAAATGGTATTATCCATTAATCATTGGAGAGACTTTAATGATGACTTGATAAAAGCCACTGATCTGAATTAATGCATTTTAAGTTAGCCTTAATATTATTATGCATCAAAATGATTCTTAAGTGAATGAAATAAATGGAGATGACAGTGAACAGTTCGCAGATGGATATAAAAAGTGCCTCTAATAAAAATCCCAAAAAGCTTAAAAATATACTGACCTTAATAAACTTTAGCTTTACATAAAGAACAGTTTTACTGGTCAATGAAGAAAATTTCTTTGTCTATATTTTAAGGTTAATTTTCTTTTTAACCATTAATTTTATCATAAATAGGAAAAACACCAAGCTTAAAATACAAAATATATGACATGATTATTTTTTTCACTTGTTTAATGGCTATTTCTTGTTTTAATTAAAGCTAATCTCTTAAAAAAAAAAAAAAAGTTCATATATTTATAAAAATAAAAAAAAGGTTTTTGGTATTGTGCATGAGAGTACATTGTATTTTAGAATCTAAAATAAAAAAAATGTGAAAGCAATTGTCTCTTAATATACTTTGATTATTCTCAACTATTGTTCGCATCTTGGTTGATATAGATGTTATTATAGACATATTTCTACCAAGTACCCTTTGGCCATCATCAGCAGCTGTCCATTGTTTGGCTGATATGGGATACATGTTGATTATTGTGCTATATCTGTCCCTGTGATGCCAGTTATTGTTTACTCCTACTGAACCAATGTTTCACTACCTGATCCAGGGATTGAACTCACAGTGTATAACCAACTCCTATATCCACTATGCCACCATCCCTAAGGACATTAGTGATGTATTTTTGGAGCATTTATATTTAATGTCAGATGATTTTGATGATTTTGATCATCATAGTGGGTTTGTATGGCTTTTCATTTAGACCCTGGATCAGGTAAGCACAACTCTGTTATTTTGAGTGTTTAAAATAACTTTAATGTTTTTTTTTATTCGTAAAAAAAAAAAAAAATAGAAATACTACCATTTCTTCCATAATTCCTGTTTTTTTCTTTTATATACCATATTCCTTTAGGATATGGGGGACGATTGCCTTCCACAGCTTCCTGTCCTTTGTAGCTCTAAGCTAGGTTTTTTACTATCAGAACAGTGGGAAACACTCTCTGTTCTTTCATCCAATAAGATAAACTTCTTTTGCTGTTTTCGTTTGCTTCTCTTGCCTTCCATATGTCCTGTGAGTGTTAAATTATATGTCCTGTGAGAATTTCCACTTCTGAAACAAGTGAACTATTTTCAAACAGTTTTCTCAGTTATGGCACCATTTCCATCAGGGCATATGAATTTTTTGGTATTTACACAGCCTTTTTTCTTTTCTCAAAATAATAGATTGACAAAAATGCATTTCATTTTCCTTCATTTTTACTTGTAGCATAAACTTTTAAAATTCACAATCCATACATAAGTCATATAGAACAATGCAGTGAAATGTCAAATGATCATGAGGAAAGACAAAAAAGACATATCAGAGATGCTACTTGGCTTCAGTGAGAAAATAAAGAAAGAAGTAGGATGTAAGTGTTTAAAATCCTCTGCTAATACTTCATGATGATTTCAGTGAGAATATGAAAGAAAGAAAGTAAAAAGGGAAGATAGAATTGCTCAACATCTGTTTCAGTGAAATTGGAAAAAAATTAAATCTTTTCATTTGTACCCTCTTCTTAAAATAATGACCAGCATTCATATTTATGATTGCTACTGCAATATTTTCTTAAGATCAAATATTTAATGATGGATTTTTTTTTTAATTTTTATAATTTCACTTCAAGCAAAGTCATAATGCCACTAAGATGCAAGGAATTACTGGGAGTGAAAGAACAATGAGAGAAATTTAGTGTGAATAAAGGACAATAAAAGGACAGGTTTCAGAAAGAAAGGAGATGGCAATTGACATTACATTTAAATCTTTGAAGATTGTAGATGGCAGGGAAGCAAGAAACCAGAAGAGATACCCACAGGCGAGAACTGCATGAAAAGAAACTATTAGAATAGAACTTACAATTACATTTAGCTATTTCAACAGTAAAATGATGAGACCTAATTGCCAATCTAGTAGAATGCTTAAACTTATGTAATTGAGGTACCAAGAAGGAGAGCTCATTAGAACAACTGCCATGAAAATATTTATAGAAAAGATATGGCAAAGCCATGTCACAGTAGTGGGAAAGTGACTGAAGTTGAGATGCCAGGTCAGCACTGATAATATTACAAACCTTTCTTTGATTTATATAGACCAGACCAGATATAGCAGCAATATATAATGCATAGATGAATGGTAGATTTATAAATGTGCAAGATGAATTCTGGTGAGAATAACTGTCTGGCACAACACAGTGAACCAACATTTTTAGTCACAGACTTAGCAATTGATTCAATATAATCTTTTCACTTTATGCCAGTGGAAAACATGAAACCAATAAGATGCAATAAGTTGCTCTTTTGGAGGTTTGCATCAACCATGCTAATTGATGGAAAAATGGTAATCTATGATGATTAAAGGAATAGCAGTTTCATTTTGTAGGTGTTAAAATGTACAAGCCATTTCTTGCCCCAGTTAACAACTGATTTGAGAGCAACTGCCAGTTTTACTTTTTACTTTGAATAGTTATATTATCAGCAAAGTTCAGTTACATATGAAATAAAATCATTTTCAAATGTCATTTATTAAAAAATGATTTATTTCCTGCCTAGTATATTAAAATATATTTTTTTTAAACATGAATTAACATTTTCCATGTCTATATCAACGTTTAAATTAAAAATTACAATCGGTGGTAATTACTTAACTGATCTCCTTATGATGTACGATTAGCATATTTACAGATCATTAATAGATCCTACTTATAAAATGAACTGATCTGAACATATATAATTTTCCTGCATGGTTTGATGTTAAAATTCAGCTTGGTCCTCCTTTAGTTACCATGACTGTTATGCCCTGCCACTATGTTATAAATAATAGACTATTCCGTTATGATCATGGGGAAAGACAAAAAAGACATATCAGAGATGCTATTTGGCTTCAGTAAAAAAATAAAGAAAGAAGTAGGATGTAAGTGTTTAAAATGTTCTGCTACTACTTCATAAATGATGGTTTCAGTGAGAATATGAAAGAAAGCAAAAAAGGGCGGGGGGTTCAACATCTGTTTCAGTGAAATTGGAAAAAGTTAAATCTTTTCATTTGTACCCTCTTCTTATTTCTTAAAGTAATGACCAGCATTCATATTTATGATTGCTAGTGCAATATTTTCTTAAAGTTGTTAAGATCAAGTATTTAATGATGTGATAGGGGAATTTTTATGGATATTTTATTGTCATAGAACTTGCCATGAGCTGATTCAGTCATTAATTTAAGATTCATCAGAAAATTAAAATAGGAAAACCATGACATTTTCCCAGGTATTTCTAGTGAATTATAAAGTATATCCCAGTAACCCACTAACTAAAAGCAACACATTTAAGGTTTATTTATAGTTTTTATTCAGTGCTTAGTATGACAATGCCTAAGCCAAGCAGATGGTAAAAGTACCAAAGCCATTAGACATTACATCAAATTCACAACAGGCATACTCAAATGTGTGCTATTTCCATATCCACTTCCCTTCAGCCAATAAGTTGGACACAATGATTGGGAGATGGAAAAGATGGTTTGGCTAATATTTGCAGTATGGTTGGGAATTTTTTACTGGAGAGTAATGATTGGAAAATAGCATTCTGTATTTTGTGACATTAAAGGTGACTTTGTATATACTTTTATTTATGTGTTCTTCCTTTATTGGAATGAGTGGTGGACTGTAAATCTTACCCAAAACACAGAATATTCTGGAAGATATAAATATACTCACTATATCTTGGCAGCCTTAATAATGGATATATATATATAGATATTTCCTTAGGAAATATGTAAAAATCTGTGTTAGTGGCACTTATACTGCAAGAAACATATTGAAAAGCCTTAATTGCATTGTTCCTCAAAATACACTTACGTATACGTGAATATACATCTATGAATGAATATATAGTAATGTAGAAAGATGAAGTTTATTGTGGTATATGTATTTGTGCTTAGCTATGTGATTTTAATAATATTTTCAAACCACAGAGAACCCTCCCTGACCCCCATTAGAATGTCTGATACTCCATGAGAGCACCTCTCTGTGACTTCTTGGTTTCACACTGTCCGCTGACCTGAGATGTAACAAATACATTGAATCAATAGCTTCATCTACAGCAAGTAAAGTTGATTGTCTGTATCACCCCAGAAAGTTTTTCTTGCCTGAGTCCATCCTTCAAATCTATAAATCAACCATTTGCCCTTGAATGGAATACTGCTGCTATATATGGGCTGGAGGCCCCCACTGTTCATCTTAAGGTCCTCAACAAAATCCAGAGAGAGATATGCAATGTGATTGGCCCTGATCTGGCATCTTGTTTACTGCCACTCTCTCACAGATGTGCCATTGTTTCCCTGTGTCTTTTCTACTAATACTTTCATGGTAATTGCTCTGACAAGCTACTTTCGCTGGTTCCTAAACTGCATGAATTTAAACGTGCTACTAGGTTGGCATCTCAGTCCCACCCTTTTCAATGTCAAAACGGTTAAATGTAGCCATCTCTTCTGCTCCAATAGCTTCATGTCTCGTACTTCCTGTTTGTGGAACTCCCTTCTTCTTTATTTTATTCAAATGCAATGTCACTTGAGATCTCCAGATGCCTTAATCTAATTCCACGTCCTTCTTTTCATTCTTTTCTTCTTTTCTTCATATCTCTTTACTCT